GTGTGTGTGTGTGTGTGTGTGTGTGTGTGTGTGTGTGTGTGTGTGTGAAATTTGAGAAGTTGATTCTAATTTTTACATGAAAATGTAAAGATTTGAGAATAGCCAAGATAATCTGAAGAAGAATCACAAAGTTGAAGAACTTATACTACTGGATATCAAGACCCATTTTACATTAAGGTACTATGGAAGTGGCACAATGTTAGAATGGAGTCAAGACATTGACCCCTGCAAAATTCACGATATAAATGACCCTGCAAAGCATTAGGGAAAGGACTTTGTTTTTTTTCTCTTAATGGTGCTCGATTAATTTCATAGGTAAGTAATCTCAACCCCTATTTTATGCCATATAATTCCAGTTGGGCTTGCAATGCAAAAATGTGAAAAGGTAAAACAATAAAGTTTCCAGAAGTAAATATGGGAGAATATCTTTATGACCTTCAGACAGCAAAGATTCCCTATCAGGACTCCAAAATTCACTAACCATAAATTGGACTACATTAAAATTAGGGACTTCTGTTCATCAAAAAAAAAAACCAAAAAAACAATACAAATGGAAAAGTTTAGCCCTGGGGTAGGAGAAGATATTTGTAATGGGTGTAATATTCTAAGAGATTAGTATCCAGAATTTAAAATGCCTAAGAATAAATAATTTAAAAACACCTCAATATAAAAACAAGTGACTTACTTGAACAGACATTTCACTAAAGAAATATCCAGGGCTTCCCTGGTGGCTCAGTGGTTGAGAGTCCGCCTGCCAATGCAGGGGACACGGATTCGTGCCCCGGTCTGGGAATATCCCGCATGCCACGGAGCGGCTGGGCCCGTGAGCCATGGCCGCTGAGCCTGCACGTCCGGAGCCTGTGCTCCGCAATGGGAGAGGCCACAACAGGGAGAGGCCCACGTACTGCAAAAAAAAAAAAAGAAATATCCAAGTGGCCAATAAATATACAAAAATAATACCACCAAACCCATGAGACTGACTGAAAGTAAAAGACTAACAATTTCAAGTGTTAGAGAGGATGTACAGCAATGGAAATGTAAGAGTGAAAATTGGTACAACCACCTTGGAAACTGTTCTGCAGTAATGATTAAAGGTGAACATAAGCACATCCATTAGCCAATAAGTCCACTCCTAGCTATATACCAAACAGCAATGCACACAAATCTACGCAAAAATTCATGTACAAGAATGCCCACAATAACATCATTATTCATAATAGCCCAAAATTGGAAACAACACATTGTCCATCATAAGCAGGATGGCTAAAAACTGCTGCATTAATAAGATGGAATATCATATAAAAGCATTCTGCAAATTCTTTCTGTAAAGAACCAGATAGTAAATATTTCAGGCTTTGAGTACCATATGGTCTCTGTCGCAACGATGCAACCCTGCTGTTGGAGGGTGAAAGCAGCCGTAGATAATCCATAAGCAAATGAGCCAATAAGCATGGCTGTGTTTCAAGAGAACTTTGCCAACCTCTGTCATGTAGCAATGGAAATGAATGACCTATTGCTATGTTTAAAAACATGGATGAATCATACAATATAACGTTGAGCAAAAGAATGTATTCTGAAAGGTGAAGGAGGAGGCTGCAAAGGGCATGAGGGAGGCTCCTAGGAAAATAGTAATATTCTATTTAATGACCTAGGTGGTAGCTAGACGTATTCACTATGTGGTCATTTATTGAGCTGTACAATTATGATTTCTGCACATTTATAAACACATGTATATCTCAATAAAGAATTTTATTAATAATTATTTGAAAGCACTAAAAGATGATTCAAGGATAATCTAGAGATGCTTTGCTTTGAAGAAAGCAATGAAGGTAGCCAGATAATATCAGATGATGCATTTTCATAACGTATTTTGGAGTAACTTTAATTTTACTTTGTGCATAGGGTACTTGGCAAAATTGGGTGGCCATTTACTGCTCAGAGATGAAATTCAAGTCATGCTTGAGGGTAAGTGTTGAAGTTATAATGAAATCTTTATGTATAGGCCTAAATAACTTCACTGTTTGTGATTCAGTTTATATCTGAGCTCTATAGTGATGCCAGGGATGGGAAGAGGGTGGTAGAGGTAGCTAGGCAGTTAAGGGGAAATCAGTGGAAGGACTGGGTTAAGGGACATCTTCTTTATTTTTTATTCTTTCTCTCTCTGTTTCAATCTCTCCATCTGTCCCTCTCATTAGTTGAGACCTAACTATTATCCTAGAGTCCTTAGGAACTACAGAGAGTTAAGAATTCATTCACTCATTAATCCATTCAACAAACATTTTTCCAGCATCTACTATGTGACAGCACTATTCTATCTGCAGGATATACAGCAGCAGACAAAGCAAAGTCCCTTCCCTCAGAGGATTTACATTTTAGTGGAGAGCAATGTACACTTGCACCAGAAGAAATTAAAGAAGGGTAATGTTTATTCTTTCAAAATGTTTGGATCTTCAGCATCTCTCTCTTAGCCTCTGCCTATTTCCCCTTCAGGATCAGAATTACAAACAGGGGAGGCAGAAAATAAGGTGGCTGCCTTCCTTCCCTTTTTTGGTAATAGACTTTATATTTTAGAGCAATTTTACATTAATAGAAATATTGAGTGGAAGATACAGAGGTTTCCTGTATACCTCCTGCCCCCACACATGCAGAGCCTCCCCCAGTTACCAACATCCCCCAGCAGAGTGGTACCTTTGTTACAGTTGATGAATCTACATTGACACATCATTATCTTCCTTTTTTATCCATTCATATTTATTGACTGCCGGCTAAATACTAAGCACTCCCTCCATGTCACTCAGAATATTTTTCTTCTTTCGCTCTTCCTCCTCCTTCTGTTCCTTCTACTTTTTCTCTCTTTTCTATATCTGTCCTTTTTTCCTTCTCTATTTCTTTTTATTAAGAAAGAAAATAATAACTTCCCACAAGCTCAACATATGAATATAATGATATTAGTATTTTGGTATATATCTTATTGCAGATATTTTTAAAGAATATAAACTATTACCTATTTATTTTTAAAACTATCATAACTGTTTTATAACTTTTTCACTTACTCATGTGTCAGAAACATCTTTTCATGCCAAGAAATATGGGTCTACATCATCATGTTAATATGTATGTGCTACTTCACTTTATGATATCTCTAATTTTTAAGCACTTTCATATTGATGAACATTTAGACTGATTCCACTTTTTTCATTATTATGAGCAATACTGAACCTCTTCATGAATATATGTTTATGCTGTCTACCAGAATGCTCAGCACAGAACAGGCACTCAGTAAACACTTAGTGAATATTTCCTTTTTTCTTTTAATGAGGTCTGGTGAGGACAGAGGATAAGAAACTTCCTGGATGCTATTTGTCAAAGTAACAAAAATTGGGGGAGGGGGGTTTTTGTGAAAGGTGGTGAGGCTATTTAGGGTTAGAGCTTCTCAGACTATGAGAGTGATGCCTTGAATTAATGGCCTTTCTGCTGTTACAGCTATTGACCCAGTGCTTGGGGATGAAGATCCTGTGATCAGGGAGTTTGCAAAAATAACAAACACAATTTTTATGGAAACAGCCCATAGACTGACCTCCTCAAATATTAAACAAAGCTTCCGAAGACTGTTTAACTTAATCTACATCAAAAAATTGAAGCCTCTTTATAATTATAACCTTCCCAAGGACCTGACAGGCAGTCCTATGGGGATTAAAGAAACCAAGAATGATAAGGAAGCCATTACAGACAATAATTATGAAGACGTATTGGTAAAGAACAAAGATGTATCGGTAAAGAATGCAAGGTTCACGAGTGCCTTGGAGCACACCTCCGAAGAGGAATGATTTTCCTTTCCCTCTTGATAACTTGAGTCCGTTTGTAGATGCTTTTCAGAAGGACACTAGAAGCCTTTACTGTCTCTTCTTGATTCTCTACTCAAATATAGAAATGTGTTGCCTCTCTCTGTCTGACAGTGATTAGAAGACTTACTTCATCAAAGCAACTAACAAAATTGAAAAAACATATAAGCAAAGTGTTTGATGAGAAGCTCTTGGAGCTTGCATTAATCAATACATAGCTACTGAACATCTTCTAAGTGCCAGACACTATGCTAGATAGTGACGCTATCTGGATGATGTAAACAAGGTTCCCATCCTCAGGAAGGCCACAGTCTAGTGACACACAGTGTGGTTATTTACACCCTGCTCTGATGAATGCTGCCAAGGGCGGTATTTACAAAGGAAGAAATGGAGCTTGCAGGGGAAGAGGATTTAGAGCAGGCAAACTATTCCAGGTAGAGACACTGAGGCAAGAAGAGTGTTGGGGGAAGCTGGAGAGTTTGTTGTGGGTACAGGTGGTTAAGGAAAGAATAGGGAGAGCTGAGACCTGAGGGGAAGATTGTGCTGTGCCAATGGTTTTAAACTTTTTGAAATGAAAATTGGAGAGTCAACATAGTTAGTGGTTCCCATGGCCGCCAGGATCCAGTTTAACACTTCGTCCTGGTTTATAAGGAAGTTGATATATAAATGTTGAACTGCAGTGATCTTGCTTGACTTAAGGCTCCAGGCTCATCTTTCACTCATCTCACCTTACCTTCCTCCCACCCCTGCATCCCACCCTAGCATAAACCACTTCAGCCACAGGGAATTACTTGCTGGTAGATGAAAGCCCCATTTCCTCTGTTGACTCAGATGTTGTGGCTTTGGAATGTGTCAACTTGCAGTTCACACATGTTCTCATTTCTCTGCCAGCTCGCCTTGCTGGGAGTTGGGGCAGCAGCCATTCTACCTTCCCTTGGGTCCTTCTTCAGCTTCTCTGACTTCTGGGCCAGGTGGGTTTAGTAATGTTGACAAAGGACACCAGCTTCTCCTGCAGGACATCTGCATCATCAACATCATCAGTGTTGGAGGCAATAAGAGACTGATACAGTCACACGCTTGTGGGTTCTACCTTGTCCCTGCTCTCCACTTCACACCCACACTCCTTCCCCAATTGCCTGCCCTGCAGACTTTGAGCTCCAGCACAAGGTGTGAAGATGACAACTTTGCAGAGACTTCTTAACCCGCTCCCACAATTGCTTAGTCAAACCTCTGGTTGTGCCTCTCTAATTGAACCCTGATATATCTGAGATACATTTCCAGTCCTCTATTTTTTTTTAATTGGGGTAGAGTTGCTTAACAATGCTGTTAGTTTCTGCCGTACAATGAAGTGAATCACCTTTATGTATACATATATCCCCTTGCTCTTGGACCTCCCTCCCACCACCCTCCATCCCACCCATCTAGGTCACCACAGAGCACTGAGCTGAGCTCCCTGCTCTATACAGCAGGTTCCCACTAGCTCACTGTTTTACACCATAGTGTATATATGTCAATCCCAATCTCCCAATTCATCCCTCCCCTCCTCCCCCCACACTGTGTCCACACGTTTGTTCTCTACATCTGTGTCTCTATTCCTGCCTTGCAAATAGGTTCACCTGTACCATTTTTCTAGATTCCACATATATCCATTAATATACAATATTTGTTTTTCTCCTTTTTTTAAACATATTTATTGGAGTATAACTGCTTTACAATGTTGTGTTAGTTTCTGCCGTATAACAAAGTGAATCAGCTATACGTATACATATATCTCCACGTCCCCTCTCTCTTGCATCTCCCTCCCACCCTCCCTATCCCACCCATCTAGGTGGTCACAAAGCACCGAGCTGATCTCCCTGTGCTATGGGGCTGCTTCCCACTAGCTATCTATCTTACATTTGGTAGTGTATATATATCAATGCCATTCTCTCACTTCGTCCCAGCTTACCCTTCCTCCTCCCTGTGTCTATCCATTCTCTACAACTGAGACTTTATTCCTGTCCTGCCCCTAGGTTCTTCAAAACTATTTATTTTTTTTTGATGCCATATATATATGTTAGCATATGGTATTTGTTTTTCTCTTTCTGACTTACTTCACTCTGTATGACAGTCTCTAGGTCCATCCATGTCTCAACAAATGACCCAATTTCATTCCTTTTCATGGCTGAGTAATATCCCATTTTATATGTGTACCATATCTTCTTTATCCTTTCATCTGTCAATGGACATTTAGGTTGCTTCCATGTTCTGGCTATCATAAATAGTGCTGCAATGAACATTGGGGTACATATGTCTTTTTGAATTATGGTTTTCTCAAGGTAATGCCCAGTAGTGGGATTGCTGGGTCATATGGTAGTTCTATTTTTAGTTTTTAAAGGAACCTCCATAGTGGCAGTGTCAATTTACATTCCCACCAACAGTGCAAGAGGGTTCCCTTTTCTCCACACCCTCTTCAACATTTATTGTTCGTAGATATCTTGATGATGGCCATTCTGACTGGTGTGACGTGATACCTCACTGTAGTTTTGATCTGCATTTCTCTAATAATTAGTGATGCTGAGAATCTTTTCATGTGCTTTTTAACCATCTGTATGTCTTCTTTGGAGAAACGTCTATTTAGGTCTTCTGCCCATTTTTTGATCAGGTTGTTTGTTTTTCTGATATTGAGCTGCATGAACTGTTTTTATATTTTGGAGATTAATCCCTTGTCAGTTGATTCTTTTGCAAATATTTTCTCCCATTATGAGTGTTGTCTTTTTGTCTCATTTATGGTTTTCTTTGCTTGCAAAAGCTCTTACGTTGAATAAGGTCTCATTTGATTATCTTTGTTTTTATTCTCATTACTCTAGGAGGTGGGTCAAAAAAAGATCTTGCTGTGATTTATGTTAAAAAGTTTTCTGCCTATGTTTTCCTCTAAGAGTTTTATAGTGTCTGGTCTTACACTTAGGTCTTTAATCCATTTTGAGTTTACTTTTGTATATGGTGTTAGCGAGTGTTCTAATTTCATTCTTTTACATGTAGCTGTCCAGTTTTCCCAGCACCACTTATTGAAGAGACTGTCTTTTCTCCATTGTATATTCTTGCCTCCTTTGTCATAGATTAGGTAACCATAGGTGCGTGGGTTTATCTCTGGACTTTCTATCCTGTACCATTGATCTATATTTCTGTTTTTGTGCCAGTACCATACTGTCTTGATTACTGCAGCTTTTTAGTATAGTCTGAAGTCAAGGAGTCTGATTCTTCCCGCTCCGTTTTGCTTTCTCACGATTGCTTTGGCTATAAGGGTCTTTTGTGTTTCCAAAGAAATTGTAAAATTTTTTACTCTAATTCTGTGAAAAATACAATTGGTAATTTGAAAGGGATTGCATTGAATCTGTAAATTGCTTTGGATAGTGTAGTCATTTTCACAATACTGATTCTTCCAATCCAAGAAAAATCTCCATCTGTTTGTGTCATCTTTGATTTCTTTCATCAGTGTCTTATAGTTTTCAGAGTACAGATATTTTACCTCCTTAGGTAGGTTTATTCTTAGGTATTTTACTCTTTCTGTTGCTGTGGTAAATGGGACTGTTTCCTTAATTTCTCTTTCTGATCTTTCATTGTTAGTGTATAGGAATGCAAGAGATTTCTGTGCATTAATTTTGTATCCTGCAACTTTACCATGTTCATTGATTAGCATCATTGATGGTGGCATCTTTAGTATTCTATGTATAGTATCATGTCATCTGCAAACAGTGACAGTTTTACATCTTTTCCAGTGTAGATTCCTTTTATCTCTTTTTCTTCTCTGATTACCATGGCTAAGAATTCCAAAACTATGTTGAATAATAGTGGTGAGAGTGGACATCTTTTTCTTGTTCCTGATCTTAGAGGAAATGCTTTCAGTTTTTCACCATTGAGAATGATGTTTGCTGTGGGTTTGTCATATATGGCCTTTATTATGTTGAGGTACGTTCCTTCTATGCCCACTTTCTGAAGAGTTTTATCCTAAATGGGTGTTGAATTTTGTCAAAAGCTTTTTCTGCATCTATTGAGATGATCATATGGTTTTTATTCTTTAATTTGTTAATATGGTGTGTCACATTGATTGATTTACATATATTGAAGAATCCTTGATAAACCCACTTGATCGTGGTGTATGATCCTTGATCATAAAACCCACTTGTTCATGGTGTATGATCCTTTTTGTGTATTGTTTGATTCTTTTTTTAATAAATTTATTTATTTACTTACTTATTTATTTTTTGCTGCATTGGGTCTTCGTTGCTGTGCACGGGCTTTCTCTAGTCGAGGCGAGAGGGGGCTACTTTTTCTTTGTTGTGGTGTGCAGGCTTCTCATTGCAGTGGCTTTTCTTGTTATGGAGCATGGGCTCTAGGCACATGGGCTTCAGTAGTTGTGACACATGAACTCAGTAGTTGTGGCTTATGGGCTCTAGAGCACAGGCTCAGTAGTTGCGGCACAGCAGCTTAGTTGCTCCGCTGCATGTGGCATCTTCCTGGACCAGGGATCAAACCCATGTCCCTTCATTGGCAGGCAGATTCTTAACCACTGTGCCACCAGGGAAGTCCTGGATTCTTTTTGCTAGTATTTTGCTGAGAATTTTTGCATCTATGTTCATCAGTGATATTGGTCTGTAATTTTCCTTTTCAGTGATATCTTTGTCTGCTTTTTAGTAACAGGGTAATGGTGCCCTCAGAGAATCAGCTTGGGAGTGTTCGTTCCTCTGCAATTTTTTGGAAGAGTTTGAGAAGGATGGGTGTTAGCTCTTCTCTAAATATTTGGTAGAATTTGCCTGTGAAGCCATCTGTTCCTGGACTTTTTGTTTGTTGGAAGATTTTTAATTGCAGTTTCAATTTCATTACTTGTGATTGGTCTGTTTATATTTTCTATGTCTTCCTGGTTCAGTCTTGGAAGGTTGTACCTTTCTAAGAATTTGTCCATTTCTTCCAGGATGTCCACTTTATTGGCATATAGTTGCTTACAG